CCCGACTGAAAGTTTGATGTAGTGCAAGCTGGACCATCCTGAAGGGGCTAACGCTACACAGAGCCGTCAGAGGGTGAAAAGGTAAATCTGCCTGACATTGCCCAGGCCTAGGATCTCTTTCCTCACCGTCAGACCAGGGGACACACAGCTTCAGTCACAGTTCAGCCAGTGGGTCCAGGCTTAGACTCCTCCACCCCCTCCTTCCAGACTGTAGGACAACTCTGCCACCACACTAACTTGTGCTCTGCAGAGGGTGGAAAGTTCAACGCAGCTCAGCTTTGCGTACTGAAGCTGACAGTTCCCTGTGCCTCCCAAGCCGCTGCTCTGATGAGTAATTCCTAGCAGGATAAGACACGTGGCCCAGCAAGGCGCCAAGCCAACGATGAGAGCATCGTGGGCTCACCTTGGGAGTGGAGAGGCTGCTGCTGCTCCCTGTTCAGCGGCACGATGGGAGGAGACGTCTGGATGCCGGCTTTGTACCACAGCAGGAGCAGGAGACGAAGGATGGCTCTGTGAGCAGACACATGGAAGCCTTCAATACCAGGCCACAGAGCTGGGTTCCTGTTGTGCTGGAAGGGTGGCTTTCACAGAAGAGGCAAACACTCAGGTCTGCCCAGGGCAACTGGCAAGGCAAGAGGGGTAAGTGTCCCCTTCTATGGCACGCTATCTAGTGCACTGTGGGGCTCCAAATTCCCCCAGCCTCAGGGACTGGCAGCTCAGTCCTGCTTGGGCTTTTTCCTGGGATACTGCTGAGTCCCCTCCAGATTCCCTTTCCGAGCGCACGCTGACCCTTCCCCTCTGCCCATGGCACTTACTTAGCCAGCTGGATGAGGACAATGATGGTCCACCGGCCCATCTCCCCCCACACCCTGGCTGTCCCCATCTCTGCAAAGACCTCCACGCATTCCAGCACACTCAGCCAGGTCAGCAGCTTCTGCTGGGGCAGCGACTGCAAAACACAGAGGGGAGGAGGGGGACAGGATGCAGGTTCTGCTTGGGAGTTACACAGGGCAGAACAACAGCCCAATTTGGTGGAACCCTCAGAAATAAACACCAGATGGCCTTGGAAGTCACAGCCCCAGACACAAAAAGTGGTGCCTCCACTGTGGCCAGAGTCTACACACAAGCCCACTTCTGTACGTCCAAGCAGGGGCAGACTGAGACATCACAGTATCACACAGAGCTCCTGCCCCAGAAACAGGGAGAACATCACAGCTGTATCTTGGATTGTCTTCTACCCCAACCGACCCAGCAAGACAGTCTCCTGGGTTGTGGCACTGTGCCTGAACTCCATGGCAAAATTCCCTCCTCCTCCTTGTCCCAGAGTTGGGATACACAACGAACCTCTGCCCTGGTTAGAGCTGACGAGAGAATATGCTTGGAGTAGAGGGAAGGGGACCTAGAGCCCACAGTCACAGCAGAGCTAATGCCTGCAGAACACGCTCTAGATTCCAGGCATGAACCCCAAGACAGCGGGTGCTCTTCCAGCCTGGGTTCCTGCTCCCCACATGGGAGCTTGCTGGTGCTGTCAACCACAGGATTTAACCCACTGAAAAGCATTGGTAAAGACAATACAGCTGAAATTCACTTTGGCCTTTAACAACCAGAGAAGCAAGTCTTCTGCAATTCTGTTTGTTACATGCCTGACACTCTAGCCAGAGAGCTGCCAACACCCAAACCCACACAGTGAGCTGGCTTGCAACAGAAGAGGCCTGTCTGGAAAAAAATGCCCTCCTCCTGATTCCCCAAAGGGTCTAACAAGTGCTGGGAGCAAGCCTGGGGCTCTCGCAAGAGACGCATAGAAGCAAGATGCTTATGCTTGTTTTGCTCAATAGTATATGCAAAGGAAGAGCCTGAGGGGTGGAATCAGAGCTTCAGTGCTCCAGAGCCAGTGCTCTGGAAACAGCAATGGTTATTTGGCAACACCTTTGCCTATCTCAAGTTCTGAGCTTCTCAAAAATACAGTGGAGCTCCCGGTGCAAGTCAGGACCTGATTTCTGTGGTCCAGGGAGTGCTCTGGCCACTCCTCCAAGCCAGGAGCTATGAGGCAGGGCTGCTGCTTCTGCATTCAGAGGTTGCCTCTGGCGTCTATGTATCTGATAGCAAAGAGAGGCCACAGCAAAGACCTGTTAGTTTCTACAGACACTCCCTGAAAACTTCTGCAAGGAAGAAAGCATGTGTCCCAAATAGTCCTCCCACACACTCCAGCCTTACCACGGGCAGGCTCCGCTGCAGCTCCTTTCGGAGAATCCAGTCATTTAATAGCACTAGCAGATTGGAGGCAGAGTACACTAAAAAAGGAAAGGGAACGAGAACACCGCAGTTAAGGGATGCACGGTAAGCAAACCAAACGGGGACTGCTGCCTTTTCCCCCAGGAGGGGCTGAGGGAAGAAGGGCAACAAAACGTGCAGATTCCTCCCATTAGCTGCTGGAATATGCAGCCAGGCATGAAGAAATCAAGGGGTCCGGGGAACGGCCCCGCATGCA